AGTTCAGCCAAGGTCTTTGCTACTTTATAACAAGGATGGCTTTTACTCCAGTTTCCAGTACCTTGTTCCTCAGTTCTGAGACCTCATCAGAATGGCCCTTACTGGCCATTTTTCTTTTCTTCGCTTTTTTTAATTTATAAAGAACACAAATTTATTTTCTCATAGTTCTGGAGGCTGGGAAGTTCAAGATCAAGGAACTGGCATGTTTGGTTGCCTGGTGAGGGCTGCTCTCTGCTTCCAAGATGGTGCCATATTGCTACACCCTCCAGGGGAAAGAAATGCTGTGTCCTCATATGGCAGAAGGCAGAAGGGGAAAAGAATACCTTCCAGTTTTCTACCAACATTCTGGTCACGACCACTTAAGTAATCTCTAAGGAGATTTAGGCTTTTTTTTTTATAGTTCTTTTCTTCTGAGCTCTTACCAGAATCACCTCTAATGCTCGGTTTGCAGCAATCTGGGCTTTTTCCTAGCCTGCTTCTCCATATTCTTTCAGCCTCTGTCCATTACTCAGTTCCAAAGCTGCTTACATTTCAGGTGTTTGTTATAGCAACAACCATGCTTCTTGGTACCAATTTTCTCTTGGTCTGTTTTCTGCTGTTAGAATACCACAGACTAGATAATTTATAAAGAACGGACACGTATTTGGCTCACACTTCTGGAGGCAGGAAGTCCAAAAGCATAGCACCGGCATCTGGCAAGGGTGATCTCGTGGGAGAGGAACAGAGGGCAAGTGAGTGTACAAGGCAGAGAGCAAGAGGACAGTGGGGCTGAACTCACCCTTTTTAGCAGGAATATACTTCTGAGATAACAGCTTTAATCCATTCATGAAGGCAGAACTGTCATGACCTAATCACCTCTTAAAGGTCCTACCTCTCAAGACTGTTACAATGGCAATTAAATTTCAACATGAGTTTGCTGGGGACATTCAAACCACTGCGCTACTTTTTTTCTTTCGTTTTTTGCTTTTTGTCTTTATTTTTTATAGAGATGGGGTCTTGCTATGTTGGTCAGGTTGGTTTCAAACTCCTGGCCTCAAGCAATCCTCT